CTAGCTCACCATCTTCCTTGAGGGGCTGACCTGGCCTCTCTCCCTCCGTGCTTCCCTCCCTCCCAGAGGATGGGAAGTAGAGGGGGTCCTTTTGCATATATTTTTTGACTGCTTTGCACATATTCTTTGGTCAGCCTTTGCCAGCTTCTGGCCATGTGTTTGTCCTGTGTCTGTATCATAATCTTGTCTAGTCAGTGGCATTAAAGAGATTTCTACTCAACTGACTCTCTTCCTTCCAGGTGGAGAAACGTGTGTTGCCCCAAATGTTAAGAACACCACCCGTCCGGAATTGGAGCACTGCAGTCCTCCAGGATTTGAGGACTGCCTTCCACCAGGTGTTGATCACTTCATTCCCCCATGTGTTTGATGGCTGTGCTCCTGCAGAATACAGTTACTGCAGTCCTCCAGGACCTGAGGACTTGAAGGATGACTATGTTATTTTGTGTAATTCAGACTATGTGCCTTCAGGATCCATAGAGTCCTGGAAATGCAGTGAAGGAGATATCCTGTCAGTATGCTTTGGTAAGAAGAGCAACAGGGGACTCCCAGAAGACAAGTCTGGAGATTCCCATTAGATTTGCCAGGAAGGATGTCCACAGTATTGGACTTGAGGTTTGGACTCTTCCCTTCTCTCTCAGCTGGCTTTGAGCTAACCTTGCAATTCTGCTGTTCCTCATATAAATCTGATTCTTTCTTTGCTTTGAAGAATCGGCTGGAAGCCTGAAGAGAAATCTCTCTGTGGATCAGTTTGTTTTCCAGAGCTGATGTCCTTCTCTTCCCTTTGCTGAAGGTCTTCCAGGAGAACCCATGAGGAACCCCTTGGAAAGCAGACATGGTAATTAAACCTGAGAAGAGTTCAGCCCCTGCTTCTCTTTGCTTCCACTAAGAGGTGTCACTGTGAAAAGAGAAGGACCTCAGGGATTTCTGGAGGCCAGATCAAGGCTCTGACCTCAGTCCCCATCTCCTCTTGGGTGGTTCATGCACCTGACTGAATAGACAGGGGAACAGGGCCAACACCTTAACAGCTCAGTGGACGTGGGTGGTTTGCTTAACCCTTCATCCAACACATACAATATTAATAAAACCGCAGTTTAACTTGGTAGATTTAAGCGTGATTTTACTTCTGTTGTTTGCTTAGAGGAATGTGCCGCTTAGGTGGAAGTCAGTTCAAACTATATTAGGAGAAGGGAACTGCACTGAAGAACATGCAGCAGCTTGTATTTAGGAACTGTTGTTTTAGAAGGAAAAAAGAAAAGAAAACAGAACATTGCTAGCAAATGGGTATAGCTGTATATGTAATTGCCATTAATGAACAGCCTTGCTAATTAGATGTTGTATTTTCTGCAATGCCTGTGTTAAATTTCATCTTAAATGGTGTGTACTAATGTTAAGATGGCTTTAGCTTAGTTACAAGGTGCTGCTTGTATGTTTCATGAAGTATCTTTTCTTACAGAATGTTGAATAAAAGTTTTTTTGTTATTACTAAAAAGGTATTCTTGAATGTCATTATGAACTGGGATTGTTTATGTAATCTGTTTTGCTGTTTAAGTATATCTTAATACATGTTCTTTCTGTAGATAAAATCCATGGCTTTGTATTCTAACCTTGCTGTAGGCAAAGACACACTGTTAGTGTCTCTTTAGAGCAAACAGATGATTGTGATTACAATCCCACTTCCTGACTGCCCTTCTTCAGGGGGAACACCCCAAACCCTTTCTCATCTTGTTCTCATAGAGTCATTCTTGCTTTGCTGTGGAGCCTACAATCTGTCCACATCCTTCTGAACTTTTGATTCTCAAAACCGACCACAATATTCTTGTTGAATTTTAAAGTAATCAGGGTAATAACTCCCTGTCTTCAAAGCTCTTGCCCCTCCTACTGTGTTCAGAAAGGAAATGTATATTTTCTTGAAGGGGATCACCTGCTAGCTCACATTTAGGCTTATCACAGAAAACATTCTGTCTGAAGGCAAAATTAAGGTTTACCTTCCAGTCTATGGTGTGAGCTTATGAGTCTCCATGGTGTAAGAGCTCTTTAAATTCCTACTGGGTATTTATAGGAAAAAAAATTAAAAAGCTGTTTCTGCTGTTGATCTACGAGAATTCAGTGACTATAGATTTCGACTGACTGAGAAACATCATGATGTGATTACAATGGGTATCTCCAGAAGTGTCATTCAATCTTGTAGTGTGATGAAAAATTAAGAGCTGATGAGTACAAAGTGTCTGAAAACTGAGTGAGAAAGCTTCAGTGGATTTGAGAATGGCTACTAAAAGTTGCAAATTGGAGGATGTAATAGAAAAGGAGTTTCCAAAACGGATTGTAAGCTTAGAGTGTCTTCTGGCTTACAAGGGGAAAACTATTGCAAATTCCTTGACTACTTCAGATTAATTTCAATTTGCAAAGTGTTTAACTGTGGGAACTTTGCATGTCTGCTGCACTAACTAGGTGACTTGACTTTAAAAAGGAAAGCTTACAGAGTCTGTCACTCAGTTAAGAGGGTACAACAGCTGTAAGTATACCACATTTCTGAAGGAAAGAATAAGTGACTGTAGATTATAATGGTCGAAATTCCTCAACTTTCCGTGTGTGTCATTACTCTTTAAAATACTAGTCTTACATGTTTACCAGTAAGATATTCTATGTTCTGGGTTTGCAATCAACTTCTTGACACAATTAAGTCAAGAGTAATGTGCAAGTAATTCAGTAAGAAAAGTGCAAGCTTCCTCAGGGTTTCAGGCCCGTCCTTCCCCTCACACCCAAACACCAGCCCTGCGACCGGAGCTGCATGCGAGGCTATGCAGTGAGGAGCAGCAGAGCCATGTCTGGTTTGGTAGGAGGTTGCTCCGGAATGCTGCCAGAGCTGCCTGGTGAAGCCTCGTGCTGTGCTGCAGGCCAGGGAGAAGTGCTGCTGGGGATCCTGGGCCCAGGGCTGGCTGCAGGGAGCTGCTAGGGGCCGGGTGTGTGCCAGTGGCCAGCTGCTGTGGACGTTTCATTCCTCTGGGCAGTAGCTTCTTTGCATGGCCAGCCGGGCAAGTTGGGTAGGGCTCTGGCTGGTCGGCCGGGGCAACTTGGGTAGGGCTCTGGCTGGGCGGCCGGGGCAAGGTGGGTAGGGCTCTGGGTGGCTGGTTGGGTCACGGTGGTTAGGGTTCTGGCTGGCCAGCTGGGGCAAGTTGGGTAGGGGTCTGGCTGGCCGGCCGGTGCAAGTGGGGTAGGGGTCTGCCTGGCCAGCCTGGGCAATATGGGTAGGGCTCTAGCTGGCCAGCCGGGGCTAGTGGTGTCAGGCTCTGGCTGGCCGGCTGGGGCAACTTGGGTAGGGCTCTGGCTGGGCGGCTGGGGCCAGTTGGGTAGGGCTCTGCGTGGCTCGCTGAGGCAAGGTGGTTAGGGTTCTGGCTGGCCAGGCGGGGCTAATGGTGTCAGTGTCTGGCTAGCCGGCCGGTACAAGTTGGGTAGGGCTCTGACTGGCCGGCCGGGAGAAGTTGAGTAGGGCTCTGGCTTGCCGGCTGGGGCAAGTTGGTTAGGGCTCTGGGTGGCTGGCCGGTACAGGTTGGGTAGGGCTCTGCGTGGCTCGCTGAGGCAAGGGGGTTAGGGTTCTGGCTGGCCAGCTGGGTCTAGTGCTGTCAGGCTCTGGCTGGCCGGCCGGGGTAAGTTGGGTAGGGCTCTGCGTGGCTCGCTGAGGCAAGGGGGTTAGGGTTCTGGCTGGCCAGCTGGGTCTAGTGGTGTCAGTCTCTGGCTGGCCAGCTGGGTCTAGTGGTGGAAGGGTCTGGCTGGGCGGCCGGGGGCAGGAGGGGAGGGGTCTGGCTGGCCGGCCGGGGGAAGTTGGGGAGGGCTCTGGCTGGCCGGGCGGGGCAAGTTGGGTAGGGGTCTGCCTGGCCAGCCTGGGCAATATGGGTAGGGCTGTAGGTGGGCAGCCGAGGCTAGTGGTGTCAGTCTCCGGCTGGCTGGCCGGCGCAAGTTGGGTAGGGCTCTGGGTGGCTGGTTGGGTCACGGTGGTTAGGGTTCTGGCTGGCCAGGCGGGGCTAATGGTGTCAGTGTCTGGCTAGCCGGCCGGTACAAGTTGGGTAGGGCTCTGACTGGCCGGCCGGGAGAAGTTGAGTAGGGCTCTGGCTTGCCGGCCGGGGCAAGTTGGGGAGGGCTCTGGCTGGCCGACTGGGCAAGTTGGGTAAGGCTCTGGTTGGCCGGCCGGGGCAAGGTGGGTAGGTTGCTCTCTGGCCAGCTGGGTCTAGTGCTGTCAGGCTCTGGCTGGCTGGCGGGGGCAAGTTGGGTAGGGCTCTGGCTTGCCGGCTGGGGCAAGTTGGTTAGGGCTCTGGGTGGCTGGTTGGGTCACGGTGGTTAGGGTTCTGGCTGGCCAGCCGGGGCTAGTGGTGTCAGTCTCCGGCTGGCTGGCCGGCGCAAGTTGGGTAGGGCTCTGACTGGCCGGCCGGGGCATGTCGGGTAGGGCTCTGGCTGGTCGGCCGGGTCAAGTTGGGTAGGGCTCTGACTGGCCGGCCGGGGCAGGTGGGGTAGGGCTCTGGCTGGGCGGCCGGGGCAAGGTGGGTAGGTTGCTCTCTGGCCAGCTGGGTCTAGTGCTGTCAGGCTCTGGCTGGCTGGCTGGGGCAAGTTAGGTAGGTTTCTGTCTGGCTAGCTGGGTCTAGTGGTGGAAGGGTCTGGCTGGCAGGCCGGTGTAAGTTGGGTAGGGCTCTGACTGGCCGGCCGGGGCAGGTGGGGTAGGGCTCTGGCTGGGCGGCTGGGGCCAGTTGGGTAGGGCTCTGACTGGCCGGCCGGGAGAAGTTGAGTAGGGCTCTGGCTTGCCCGCCGGTACAAGTTGGGTAGGGCTCTGGCTTGCCCGCCGGTACAAGTTGGGTAGGGCTCTGGCTGGTCGGCCGGGTCAAGTTGGGTAGGGCTCTGACTGGCCGGCCGGGGCATGTCGGGTAGGGCTCTGGCTGGTCGGCCGGGGCAACTTGGGTAGGGCTCTGGCTTGCCGGCCGGGGCAAGTTGGGTAGGGCTCTGGGTGGCTGGCCGGGGCAAGTTCTGTACAGGTCTACCTGGCCGGCCGGGGCCAGTTGGGTAGGGCTCTGACTGGCCGGCCGGGGCATGTCGGGTAGGGCTCTGGCTGGGCGGCCGGGGGCAGGAGGGGAGGGGTCTGGCTGGCCGGCTGGGGCAAGTTGGTTAGGGCTCTGGGTGGCTGGTTGGGTCACGGTGGTTAGGGTTCTGGCTGGCCAGCCGGGTCTAGTGGTGTCAGTCTCCGGCTGGCTGGCCGGCGCAAGTTGGGTAGGGCTCTGCGTGGCTCGCTGAGGCAAGGTGGGTAGGGGTCTGGCTGGCCAGCCGGGTCTAGTGGTGTCAGTCTCCGGCTGGCTGGCCGGCGCAAGTTGGGTAGGGCTCTGACTGGCCGGCCGGGAGAAGTTGAGTAGGGCTCTGGCTTGCCCGCCGGTACAAGTTGGGTAGGGCTCTGGTTGGCCGGCCGGGGCAAGGTGGGTAGGTTGCTCTCTGGCCAGCTGGGTCTAGTGCTGTCAGGCTCTGGCTGGCTGGCGGGGGCAAGTTGGGTAGGGCTCTGGCTGGCCGACTGGGCAAGTTGGGTAAGGCTCTGGTTGACCGGCCGGGGCCAGTTGGGTAGGGCTTTGGCTGGCCAGCCGGGACCAATAGTGTTAGTGTCTGGCTGGCCAGCCAGGGCAAGTTGGGTATGGCTCTAGCTGGATGGCTGGGGCAAGGTGGTTAGGGTTCTGGCTGGGCAGCCGGGGGCTATTGGGGTCAGGCTCTGGCTGGGCCGGCGGGGG